TACACAGTGCTGTCTAAAACATATACAGTCTGTATGGTCAACATAGTATTGTCTACATCATCTACATTTGACAGAAACTGATGATATTTTTACAATCAACTAACCTGCAAATTTTGTTTATAAGTTTCTATGGGAACATGCAAATCTGCCCAAGGTGAGGTACAATCATTTGCCCCAATGAAGATCACCATGGAAACCACTTCAACATCCTTTAATATTTCTGAGTTGATGATGTCTGGTAAAATGAACTTCAACCATGTTGAATTGTATCCTCCTTGACCTCTTTGACCTCCTTGACCTCTTTGACCTCCATGACTCCCGTGTCCTCTGTTTACCACATCACATCTCCTAATCACAACAAAATTAAAAAAAATATTGCAACATTGTAGACTAATGGCAGACTTGAAACAATATATAGATATATAATACACATCCTCATTTTGTATTAATATATTGGCAACAAGTTGTTGCAGTTCATCAAGTGACTACAAGAGATGAAGACCTATAGAAATCAATAAAAAACAAAATGACCACCTGAAGATCTATTGCCTGTGTAGGTAGAATATTGAAAGCTGTTAAAACTATTTTATCTTTTAAAAGGTGTGAATCATCACATAAAAATATATGATGCAATGAAATCAATGGCAATGGATCATACTGCTATAGTAACAAAATTTACTTCTGGAATGCGTTCTTTGTGATTGTCAATATTCAATAGCACCATGCTGCATTCTGATTGGCCAATGGTCAATTCTGACATGTTTTAGAGCACACAATCCTGACATGTTTTAGAGCACCCAATCCTGACATTTTTTTGAACACCCAAACCTGACATGTTTTAGAACACCCAATCCTGACATGTGTTAGAGCACCCAATCCTGACATGTTTTAGAACACCCAAACCTGACATGTTTTAGAGCACCCAAACCTGACATGTTTTAGAACACCCAATCCTGACATGTTTTAGAACACCCAAACCTGACATGTTTTAGAACACCCAATCCTGACATGTTTTAGAGCACCCAATCCTGACATGTTTTAGAACACCCAAACCTGGCATGTTTTAGAACACCCAATCCTGACATGTTTTAGAACACCCAATCCTGACATGTTTTAGAACACCCAATCCTGACATGTTTTAGAACACCCAATCCTGACATGTTTTAGAACACCCAATCCTGACATGTTTTAGACCACACAAACCTGAAATGTTTTAGAACACCCAATTCTGACATGTTTTAGAACACCCAATTCTGACATGTTTTAGAACACCCAATCCTGACATGTTTTAGAACACCCAATCCTGATATGTTTTAGAACACCCAATCCTGACATGTTTTAGAGCACCCAAACCTGAAATGTTTTAGAACACCCAATCCTGACATGTTTTAGAACACCCAATCCTGACATGTTTTAGAACACCCAATTCTGACATGTTTTAGAACACCCAATCCTGACATGTTTTAGAACACCCAATCCTGACATGTTTTAGAACACCAAATCCTGACATGTTTTAGAATACCCAATCCTGACATGTTTTAGAACACCCAATCCTGGCATGTTTTAGAACACCCAATCCTGGCATGTTTTAGAACACCCAATCCTGACATGTTTTAGAACACCCAAACCTGAAATGTTTTAGAACACCCAATCCTGAAATGTTTTATAACACCCAATTCTGATATGTTTTAGAACACCCAAACCTGACATGTTTTAGAACACCCAATCCTGATATGTTTTAGAACACCCAATCCTGATATGTTTTAAAACACCCAATCCTGATATGTTTTAGAACACCAAATCCTGACATGTTTTAGAATACCCAATCCTGACATGTTTTAGAACACCCAATTCTGACATGTTTTAGAATACCCAATCCTGACATGTTTTAGAACACCCAATTCTGATATGTTTTAGAACACCCAATCCTGATATGTTTTAGAACACCCAATCCTGATATGTTTCAGAACACCAAATCCTGACATGTTTTAGAATACCCAATCCTGACATGTTTTAGAACACCCAATCCTGAAATGTTTTATAACACCCAATCCTGAAATTAATAATTACTTAGATTAACACACGAAAGAAAAAATAGCTATTGATCAAGATTTATTAGAATCAATCATTTTAGAAAAATTTCATCTACAATTACTTAGTCCCATCAGTAATAATATTCTGGGAATTCTGGGTAAATATGATTGCCATCAGTAGTGCCATATCATTTATTTATATCCTGGTTATACTGCCCTCTATGTTGTTTCCAGTTAAAAAAAAGTATTGTTAGGCACAACATTGGTGCTGTGGGCCACTATTGTCTGTTAACATAAGAAGAATACATGTATGAATAATTATGTAAGAAAAATAAGACTTGAATTTGAATAATCCAGAGAGAAGACGACTTGACATTTAGGAGAAGTGTTACTTATACAGTGCCAAAACCAATAAAAAAAAAAAACAGTTTTGCACCAAACAACTATGTTGATTTTGAAATGCTCATTATACAGGAAAAATTGTGTGAAAAGTGACTTTTCAGTAATATCGCCCTCTATGTTGGTTCGAGTGAATTATCAAATAAAACACTGTAAGTTACCTTTGCAGTTTGTCTTGCAGTATTGCACCCCACTGTCCGTCTTCAAAAGAACGCTGTAAACAAAATATTGAGTGTAAATAGAGAGAAAGAAATTTGTAAAAAAATGACATATGAAATAATAACACAGGTGACAATAGCACTGTAGAACTGAGCTAGGCACACTTGTTTTGTAACAAATCTTAATTTAAAAAAATAAATAAAACCAATTAGGACAGTGTTACTTTTTAGCAATCACATGGTACATAGTACAAAGGTGTGACTGTCATCTTTCCTGATGTACACTACCGCATTCGACTGATACCCCGCCCATCCTACACCCCCTGCCCATCCTACACCCCCCGCCCATCCTACACCTGGCCCATCCTATACCCCGCCCATCCTACA